GCTATCCAAAATATACAAAGCACTTTTAAAAATCAACAATATGAAAACAACTAACCTAATTAAAAAATGAACCAAAGACCTCAGCATTCACCTCAGAAAAGAAGATATGCAGGTGGAGAAGATATGCAGATGGCAAATAAGGAAATGAAAAAATGTTTCATTTTATTTTTCATCAGGGAAATGCAAATTAAAACAATGAAATACCACCACATACTGGTCATCCTTGACCAAAATCTGGAACACTGACAACACCAAATGCTAGCCAAATGGTAGAGTAAATGACCCTCTTATGCATTGCTGGTGGGAATGCAAAATGTTACAACCACTCTGAAAAACATTTTAGAAGTTTCCTACAAAATGATACATTCTCTTATCATACAATTTCAGCAGTGGCACTCCTTGGTATTCACCCAAAGGAGTTGAAAACTTATGTCCACACAAAAACATGCACATGATGTTTATATCAACTTTATAACTGCCAAAACTTGGAAGCAGCCAAGATGTCCTTCAGTAGGTGAATAGATATATAAAATCTGGTATATCAAGACAGTGGAATATTATTCAGTGCAATAAAAGCTATCAAGCCATGAAAAGACATGGAAGATCCTAAAATGCATATTAGTAGTGAAAAAAGGCAATCTGAAAAGGCTACACAGGGTATGATTCCAATCATATGGCATTCTAGAAAAGGCAAAACTATAGAGACAGTAAAAGATAAGTGGTTGCCAGGGTTGGGGGAGAAGGATGGTGATGCACAGGAGATTTTTAGGACAGTGAAAATACTCTGTATGATACTATAATGATGGATACATGTCATTACACATTTTTCCAAACCCATAGAATGTACAACTCTAAGAGTGAACCACAGTGTAAACTGTGCACTTTGGATGATTATGGTGTATCAATGTAGGTTCATCCATTGTAACAGATGTACCACTCTCATGGCAGATGTTGATAATGGGGGAGGTGATGCATGTGTGGGAGCTGGGAGTATGTGGGAAATCTCTGTACCTTCCCCTCAGTTTGGCTGTAACCCTAAAACTGCTCTTAAAAAATAGTCAATTTTAAAAAGTCAGTTCAATAGAATACTATTTTAGAATAATATTTCAGAAAAACTGTTCTGAGTATTAACAGCAGTGAATTGACCATCTGCATTCAATGGAACAGGTATTTCTCTCCCGAACATTAACTGCTCTTATATCAGAACACTCAAAAATGAAAAACAGATTTCCAGATTGACACTAAAAGTTCAGTTCAGCAACAACCAAGAGGTACAAAGTGAAATAGAAAATGAGAACAAGTGAAGGATAGCTTCATTGATCTCAGAGAGCATATTATATTGGAGACTTTAGCACTGAAATTCCTCCCAGAATTTATTTAATTACTCTTGTTGTGGTCAAACAGAGAAGATGCTAAAAAATAAAAAATCTTGACTGAAGTTTTCTTTTATCTTATGTGTATATATAATATATTCAACTTGTATAAAGTAGAAACTACCAAAGGGAACTTTGAATATTAAAAAAAAAAAAAAAGAGAGAGAGAGAGAGAAGCTGCATATGTGTAAACTCAATTTCCTACAATCCTAAGAATATAACATGAAAGATATTTGCTATTTTGATGAAGGCATTGTTGTCATTAACATGAAAACAAGGTTGTTTATCTATTTATGATGTTCATGTAAAAAGATACATATATATGTATCTTTTGATATATTATGTATATACATTATACATACAATCTTATATTGCATTGGTGTCATGAGGAAAAAGGTAGAAAAATGAAGTATAACATTTATATTACCAAACTTTCTATGCCTTACTTCAAATACCACTTCTCCATGACTTTCTAATTCTTTGAAAAATTTTTTGTGACTGTCTCTTTTTCTGCAAATACAATCTTCGGTGGAAACTCAGTATGTAAAATAGGGGAAAGAAATGTCACTTCAACTGAAAGATAAATGCTCAAATGAAGTGACTGGCAGTATAAACTCCTTTATCTCTGAAGTGACCTTTTAAATTTTAAAACACCGTGGGGCACATTTGGAATACAGTAATTCTGTAGCACTTTAACCCTTATTTTTTAGCAATAAATTGTTTATATTAGTTGCATTGTTTATATTAGTTGCATTCTGAATTCTGGATGAAACATTCTTTCAGAGCCCTGAGAATACTACTGCATGAATTTGACATCTCAATATTGGAAATGAACACATATAGAGGATAAAACAACATGGTTCCAAGGGCAAATTGGAATTATCAAGCTGATTAAATGTATTTGTTACCTTCCTCAACTCCCTATCTTCCTTATCCCCATGGCACACAATCACCACCCATGTCCCAGTACCTTGGAGGACAAATTTTTCAATGCGCTGTTCACCTTTTCATTCCTTGAACTGCACTCTAGCTGATCCCCTTTCACACTTCCTGTCTATGTATACAAGAATTTATTGGTCAGGGGGCCATTAATTTAAGTAAAATTGTGGAGGACACAGTTTCAAATCTCTAAATGAGAGTGTAACGTTTGATGATCTCAAAGATGCTCTCTATCCAAGATTCTAATTTTATCTTAAGTTCTAAGTTAGTTCTTTAAAAACAGGTATTTCTAAGTGGTATCATGTATTCAAGAAATATGATATTGTTGTGGGAGGATGAGATGATCATAGCTCTTGTAACAATGTTGGAAAAATGCACGGATATAGTTGGCATGGTGAGAATGGAGGACACAGAAAGAGAGATGTAGATTCCTAGCATTAGCAATGTCATTGAGGTGCTAAATTAACTATCATTCTATCTCAGAGCTTCTAGTAATATGGCAATTTTTTTTCCTGAATTTTGAAAGTTGGTGAAGTAGGATTTTCTGTTTTACATAGATGAAATCATCTGAACCTAACAGGTATATTTTAACAAAATTCACTAGGCACAAAAAATATTTCTGCTCAGATAAAGACATGCTAATGTACTAGCTATTTTAATACTAGCAGACATTAAATTCTTTAGTTTGTCAAATGATTATTTTGATAGTATAGACAGTGTATAATTTTGCTTCTAAGAAACATAAAACAAATCAAAATAACTATAACTCAAGGAAAATATATATATTATTTTAAGGATACTTGACAACATATCAAATCCAAGGAAGCGTTGACAAATCTGTCCTAAGATCATAATCATGTACTGTTCCAAAGACTTTAATATAATGCCTTTGAAGAACATTCACCTTTACTCTGCCAATCATATGACCCAGGCATCTACCACAGTCATTAAGATTAGGAGTTTAAATACCATATGAGAGAGAGCTCAATTGACCCACGATGAATCAGCTTTTGTTCCCTGCTCCAGTTACTATGGCCAAGGGTTTGTGGTCAATCAGCTTTACTTGAATTTAACAATGATCTATGACTATGATGGCAATAGTTCAAACTTGTCACAAGAAAACTAAAACATTCAAGGTAAGACAATTAGCCTTGCCTCATAAGATTTTCTCAGCCCAACAGATGTATTATAAAACACAAGGAAGATTATTGTCTTTATGAAAGGAAAGGGGATGGAAGAATAGAAAAACATATCAAGGAAACATAGCATTTAGAATACTCTATTGTATAAAGTTTTGTGAATTTAGCAGTATATAATATATTATTAGATTAAATAAAACTGTGTAGTTGCCAAGGTATATTTAATAATCTAATAAGGCAAGAAGAGTGCAATTGATTTTTTTTCTTATAATGTTTTCTATGCTATACCCAGAGGGGTCTTTCTGAAGTCTTAGAAATCTAAATCTAAAGGGTCATGCCCTTGCTCTAGTTAAAGTCCTTAAATGACTTCCCACTTTTCTGAAAGTGTGAAGGACAAACTCTTCTTCAGAGACTGAGGGCCACTTCATGCTTTGGAATTTGCTTTCCTCTCTGACCTCATCTTTCACTAGCAGGCCACTTACATTTCATACCACAGCCTTAAGAAATAGCTTCCAGTCTCTTTTATATTCTGTCCTTCTGGTTTTCACTTCCTTTTTTTTTCTGATCTCCTGTGTGCTCCCATAGCACCCTGACAATATAATTATATTCACGTAAAAACTGTGTATTTAATTGTCTGTCTCCATCACTGGATAGTATGCTCAGTGAGGCTCACATCACGTATGTTTGATTCACAATGTTCTGTCAGTAATAGCAGAATACCTATTATATAATAAGCCCTCAATATATATATATGTGAAATGAAGAATAAACACTAAATTTTAATAATGTTCCAATAAAAATCAGTTGACCAAAGATAAATTATAATATTCTTTATAGGATACCTCCTCTCATTTGAACCCAGATATAAGCTTTAGCAGATATTCAGAGAATCCTCATTGCTACTCCTCACCAGTATTAAAATGGCATAAATAAAAAAGATTGCACATGATAAATAAGGGTTCAGAAAATGAATACTGTCATAATACTTTATATATGCCTACATACATACTTATATGTCACTATAATGTGACATTATTTTAAAAGAAATAATATAAAATTATTAAGTATTTGTGGTTAAAATTAGGTGGCTCATGACTTGATGTCTAACTTAGAGAGTTATTATGGAGTGATTACTAGTAGAGATAAGGCAATGATATTATGTTTATTGTGATAATATAATTTTCTCTGTGGTGGTTTATTAAGTGTAAATTAGTAGAAATTAACCTTGGTAACCTCATTCTTTCTTATTACTTTATTTGAAATATCAGTTATCACTAATCTACATCGAAATTGCTCTATCTTCCAAATAGCCTATACGGTTAGAAGTAGACTGATCAGTCCTAGTCAGAAAAGAAGAAACGCAATTACTGATTATTCCAAATAGTTCATTATTCACATAAAATTGGCTCTGAGTGACATAAGTAAGGATATTTCCATATATATATATAAATGAAAAAATAATTGAATGTCATTCATTGAGATAAAAAGTTATTGATGGTCACGGCGGAGTGGGCTCTCACGTGGAGGTGGGGAAGTTTGGCTTTCGGGAATGATCACTAAGACTCACAAAGGAGACCTGGGCTTCGGGTTCCCAGAGAAAAAGAAGAAGAAAAGGAAGGTAGTTAAAGAACCAGAGACTCAATACTCTGTTTTAAACAGTGACAATTATTTTGCGGAGGTTTGTCCCACAAGAGCCACATCACCCTCGAAGAATATGGTCCAAGAGCAGGCACCTGAAATGCCTCTAATGAATGAAAAGGAGTCACAGCACCGTCTGCGAGGAACTCCTAGAACCTGAGACCATGTTACGTGCCAAACGGATTGAGCCATCGCCCAGCCCCACAAAGCAGGCACTTGGTCCATCTGAGTCCCTCGGTAGGGAAAAGAAGAAGAAGAGAAAGTCCGTGTCCCCTGGCTCAAGGGTGAAGACCTCCACAGACCACAGGCAGGGCGAGGAGGTGACCAGAGTTGGCAAGAAGCTCAAAAAACACAAGAAGGAGAAGAAGGCACAGGAAGCTACAGCCGTCTCAGCCAGGGACCCTTGGTTCTGTGAGGCCAGGGACGCTTTGTACACTTGCTCAGTTGGGAAAGGTGGCGTCCCTGAGCAGGCAGTCTCGGGACAGAAACGGAAGCAGTGGAGCCCCAGGGAACACAACATGAGGATGAAGAAGAAAAAGAAAATCCACCAGGAGGGAGATATCCCCCTAGGGCACCCTGAGCTCTCCATGTCTGTGGAGAGCAGCCGTAGGAAAGGAAGTAAAAAGAAGTCAGTAAAAGTAGAAGCTCCAGAATACACCCCAATAGGAGATGACCCCAAGGCCCCTGTGAAGAAGAAAATGGAGTCCAAGAAAAAGGCAGAGCAGGCAGACACTGAGTTGCCAGCTCTAAGAAGAAGAGGCAGGAGAACCTTGGGAGGAGGAGCCCGACACGGACTTGGAGGTAGTGTTGGAAAAGAAGGGCAACATGGACGAGGCGCACATAGACCAGGTGAGGCGAAAGGCCTTGCAAGAAGAGATCGATCGTGAGTTGGGGAGGACGGAAGCTTCTGACACCAGGAAGCAGACAGGAACTCAGTTTGGCCAATGGGATACTGCTGGCTTTGAAAATGAGGAACAGAAACTGAAATTTCTCAAACTCATGGGTGGCTTTAAAAATCTGTCCCCTTCATTCAGTCGCCCCCCTAACATGGTTGGCAGGCCCAACATGGCCCTCAGCAAGAAGGTGGCCGACACCCTGCAGCAGAATCTGCAGCAGGACTACGACTGGGCCATGAGCTGGAAGTACAAGCAGAGGGCCAGCCTTGGCTTCTCCACGGCTCTGGACAAAATCTTTTACATTGACAGGAACGCATCCGGGTCAATCAAGTTTGAAGATTAAACTCTCCTGTCTTGTCCCCCCAAACGGCAACATTGCTTTTATTGTTCTGTTACGCAGATGAAAGCCATAGGACAGTTGTCTCGAATTGAATTCCTGCAGAGATAACGGACAACTATGTTGATGTGCTTGTTCAAAGTGGGGTGAGGGCAGCTCGTTTCAGGAACCAGGAGAACATGTGAGTAGCTGAAACCTACTGTTTTCTGTGTGAAGCTTCCGTCCCTGTTGAAGACAGTGAGTATCAATAGCAATAGCTCACGCTTGTCTAGTGCTTACTGTGTGCCAGGCACATATGTGTCTCCCTTGCATTAATGTATTTAATCTTTATGATTCTGATTCTGCCTCACCATGGGGCAGAGGTGAGGCAGGTCTGCCTGGGCCCTGACCAACAAGCATCAGCCAGGTCTAGAGTCTTACAAGTCTGTGTTAGCAGTGATTCAGGTGGGCCACTTCCCTCAGAAGGTGAACTTGGCCTTTCACGGATTCAACCTTGAGATGCATAACAGAAGAGGCCTACAAGGTAAGATTCTGCATTTGAGTTAGCTCTCCAGGGCACATCCCCTTCCGACAGGGGAATAAATCTTTCCCAGTCTTGATCCACACTACAGGAACTTGCCCAGTGTAAAAGGAACCAAACACTGCTTCTCTAATCATTTTTATCTTGCTGAGAGATCACACTACAGTTTGGGCTTGCTCGGCTGTCAGGAAGCATTGTGCTCAGCCATCTACTGGGTGCTTCCGGAGAGTGGCTGAGCGATTGTCCCTGATCTATCACCACAGTGATAGCTCTCATTAGGGTGTGGTGGTCAGGCCTTTCCCCTCTTGCTGTTTGGTATCTTCAGTCTCTGTGTGATAGGATTTGACTTTCTAGCTCAGTGTGGCTGAATGAGTTCCACTTGGCTTGGGAAGGTTTATTAAAGTCTGTTCCTGAAGCAGGGTCTAAGCAGAGAATGCTGGGCAGCCAAGGCAGCAAGATGCCAAGTGTCCTCAGATTGAACTTAGCCTTGTCTCGGCTGCTCTCGTAGGCGCAGACCACTGTTGCTCTAGTGACAGCTCCTGCCCTGCAGTTAGCTGGGCCTCTGTCCTTTTGTAAATTAAACAACATTGTCTTGAGTCACCTATCCCCCTTTTTCCCCATTTCCTGGGCCCTCCTCAGGCTGTCTGCAAGTTTCTGTGGTGTGATTTCCCATGTTGTTCTTCATTTGTTGACTCCGTGTAGCACACAGCCTGTCTCCACTGGAACAAGGCAGTTTTTGGACTTTTATTCAGAATCTGAGAGAGATGGGTGGGAGGTCTGGTATTTAAGAACAGCCAAGGTCTTAGCTGAATACATAACAACCCTGTTCTCGAACTTGTCGGCTATTTCTCCCTTGGGGGTTGCTCACTGACTGACCCCCCTCCTATGGCAAGGTCCTTCCCTCCTTATAACTGCCTTTATCCAGCTGTTCCCCAGACCTCGTGATTCTTAACCACTTTATTCCTTGGGGTGATTCCTGCTGTTTTGCCTTAGCCCACTAGGCCCCTCCGTGAGGCCACCTTTCTGTAGCTAGACTGGCCAATCAAAAGTGTTTGCCAGATAGACACAGTTCTCTCCTTAAAAACTGTGTGTTCAGCTCTGCAAACTTAGAACTGTTCAGGTTTGTGGTTGGAATAATGCCCCCATACCCCGCCGCCCCCATCCAAGTCCTGATCATTGGAACCTGTTAATATGTTGTGATACAAAACAAAAGGGAGTTTAAGGTAGCAGATGGAATTGTTTGCTAATCAGTTGACCTTAATATGATTAGACTGAGCCTACCCAGATAATCCAGGATTAGAAGTAGAAGAGGGAGACAGAAGAGTCAAGAGACTTGCAAGAAACACTCAACAAGCTGTCACTAGTTTGAAGATGAAGGAACCACAAGCCAAGGAATGCAGGTGGCCTCTAGAAGCTGGAAAAGGCAAGAAAACTGATTCTCCCCTAGAGCCTCCAGAAGGAATACAGCCCAGCTGACACCTTCATTTTGAAGGTAAGCCCACGGGACTTCAGACCAGGAGACCTGTAAGATGGTAAAATTGTGAATTTTTAAGCCACTAAGTTTGTAGTAATTTAAAGCAGCAATAGAAAATTAATACAGGCCTCATGCAGAAGTTTTTCTCACTTTCACCTTATTTCCTAAACTTTTTTGATTTTTTTTCTGTTGTTTCTCCATCATCCTTCATGTAGTAGTAGCAGACTTCATCTCATGTAGGCCATGGTCTTCAGAGACTGGCTAATTGATTTAGTAACAGGCTGAGGAAACCAAACAAGAACATAGAAAATCTAAGCTTCCACCTGGGCCAGGTAACATATGGTTCAGAAGCTGCTTTGATGTAACGGATACCTGACCGAACGTGAAAGTCCAAGTCCAGGTTAATGGAAGAGCATTAGAAATTCACTGACTCAGGCTTGGTCACTGATGCTCTCTGATGTGTACAGCCTCAAAGTAGATGACTTAAAAGTGCGTAATTTGTAAATTTGCCAATTGATTTTCATTTGAATAGTATCATATAGTAAAAGTGGTATAGGAAATAATTTTAATGAAAATAATTTTGTGAAATAAAGGCCACTTGGGAATATTTGAGCAGTACCAAAAAAAAATGTATTGGTGATGAAATTATAGGGGTTTAATTTTGTTCAGAGTACAAAAATCATTTGAACTATTATATTAATTTTAGAACTGGATATAACACTCAGATTATCTATTAGTGTTTCTCAACTCAAGGGATGTTTCCTTCCAAAGAGCATTTAAAAAAAATAAGAGGGGACACTTTTGGTTGTCACATGACTTGTGGGTTGGATTGACATTAAGCATCCAGATGACACTGTCTGCTGAAAGCCTGCAGTGTTCAGGAAGATACCTTGAAACTAAGAATCAACCTACCTCAAATGCCAACTGAAAAACCACAAATTTAGAAAGCAGGAAATCAACAATATAAACAAATTAGTGGTAGAAACAGGATTGAAATTGTCTGCAGACTCTATCTCTGAATATAGTAAGAACTATATATAAGGATATCATTACTTTTGAGGATGATTTTATATTTCCATTCCATTCATCACACAGATATTAAAATTTATAGGTAGCTATAGGTGCCAGAAGTTCCACATTCTTCAGATCTCCTTGCTTTTGTCCCCTCCTGATGGTGGTCTTCCCATGTGCTCCTCCTCCAAGAGAGAGGAAAGTCTTTGTCATGCAACTCCTTCTGTCATAATCTATTATTGTTTTGCTAGAGCCCCATTGGTGGTAAAGTGTGGAGGCTGTGCCTTGGGGTCTCTGACCTTCACAAATGTTTCTCCAGTGCTATAGCTTTGTTTCCCCCACTCCATTCCCTGGTTGCAGAGTTTCTAGTCTGTTTCCTTGAACACCTGACCCTTGTTAGTAGTGTCTTTTTCTTCTCTCAGGTGAGACAGGAAGGTTGGAAGAAGCTAGACACAGAGGAATTCTCTTTTCCAGCAGACAGAACCTCTGGCTGTGACTTTGGTCCTGGAAAATAGGCTTTCTTTCATAGAGAATGCTCTAAGTGTGTTTCACAAGGCTTATCATTTGCCTTCCCTGCTAGAGCCAAGAAAGGATCTTTCTCGTATTCTTACCATAGGAACCTGATGGGGATCCTGGAAGTATTTTGATACTCCTCTGTATTCAGCATTTCATGAAAATTACCATTTGTGTGTTCCTATCAGTTTATGCCTTCAATGAATTCTGCTTTGGGTAACCTGATCTCAGTTCCTATATCATTCTTGATGTGCCTGTCTCTCCAGATTTTAGAGTAGCTGTTTGCCCAGTAATATCATTGTTTTGATGAGTCCAAGAAAAGTCATTTCTTTTCAGTTTTCTTGTTGTAAGACCAGGAGTGATAACTTCTAAACTCTTTACTTCTGTGGCTTTACTTGTCAAGAATGCAACCATAAAGCTGGAGTCTTTTCCTTTAACCTTTCTAAATTTCTGTCTTCTTTCCAGAAAGAACCAATAATTGCAATTCTGACATACTTCAATTACTTATGAAAATTTTTGTCACTTTCTAAAAAGGAATACAGTGAGAAAGAGGGGGTATGAAAAAAGAAAAAGAAAAAAAACCTAGTCCAATGGTTTGGGAAAATCATCATAAAAGAACTGTCAAACAAGTAATTGCTGAAAATTTTAAATATGAAGAGACCAAAAAAACAAACAAAAGGTCAATATTAATTACCCTTAATCTAATTATATATAGCTATGGGCTAAATTATGTTTCCTTAAAATACATATGTTGAAGCCCTAATCACAGCGTGACCATATCTGGATTTACAAGAAGAGGAAGAGAGATCTCTTTCTCTCTCTCCACCATGTGAGAACATCACAAAAAGACAACCTTCTGAATATTGTTACAACTGAACTCGTTGTTTGCCTTGGTTACAGTCTCACCACTGGGTTGGCAAATGTAAGACAGAGTAGAATATTTCTTCAAAGCCTTTAAAAATGAGGTGAATACTGAAATGCTAACCCTTGGAAGGCTGGTAGAAGCTTGAAGCTTAAATGTAACCAGGCCAACTTTCTGCTAAACCAAAAATACCATTGTCTTCTACAGGATTTAAATGAGAAACGAATTTCATAACATAATATTTAAAATACTGTATTAAAATACAATATTAAAAACACAATACAAGACACGATATAAAACTGGCATGAGGATGAGGAAGAATATCAATTTATATGGGAAAAGATAACCTATAGATGCCAAAACAGAGATGACATAGATGTTAGGATTATCTGTCAAAGATTTTAAGCACCTATTTTTTTAAATGTTCCCACAAGAATGAGTAAATTCTCTTGAGTGAATGGAGAGTTAGAAGTCTAGCAAAAGTGGAAAATATAGAGAACAAAATGGAAATTTTAGAACTTTAAAATACAATAACCATCTTTTTTAAAAAAGAAATCAAACTCCTGGAGTGATCACTAATAGAATGAAAATGACAGAGAAGATAGCCACTGAACTTAAAGGTAAAT